CAGATGGGCTTGATGTCACCCACTTCTGTTTTTGAGCATCGTCTCAAGCACCATGTCTTCCCGTTTGACAGGGGTATTACTTTATGGAAATGGATTCATGGATCGTGCTGTGCAGCAGTTCGTCTCAGGAGTTCTGTACTTGTTTCCGAATACAACCGTTTAGTTTCCGAATACCACCGGTGACGGTTTAACATGTTTCAGTCTGTTTCAGACTGAACCCTACCTGCCCCTACAAGTCAGGAGCTGACCTCATGAAATACTGGAGATGGTCATACAAAACCAATACTTAAGGAGCTCAAGTCGACCAGGTTTGGACCTGGGTCAGACTGGACGAACCTCGGGTGTTGTCGTTTCCATGGGCCGTTGACCGCACTCCCAGTCGCCGGACATGACCGACGAACGATGAGTCACCGCACTTCTTCCCGTAGTCTCCAAGACGTTGTGGTCACTGGGTATATAAGCTGACTGGTGCGACTCGTAGGGAATGAGGGTGGCTGGATGCAAAGGAATCTCTATTGGGGGCGAAACTTCCCTCATTCTCTACGAGTCGCACCAGTCAGTAAGGCTTGGTTAAAGACAGATCGTGTAAAGACATAAAGATCTGGCGACTGGTGATATACCAGGCGATGACTCTGACCCATGCTTGGTATATGGTACTGAGGATCATTTTGTGACCCAGTCGGTTTTGGGTATATCAGGCTTGGCTTCCCACTTGGCGTGACTGGATTTGCTGGCTGCTAAGCTCGGATGCTGCTGTTTTAGCCTCCCAGGACTCTCTGGTCTTCAGAAGAGCCTTCGCCCGAGGATCTGCTTTTTGGGTGGTTTCTGTTTTCCACTCACGAAAGAGGAGGGGACTGCGAGGGTCTTGACTATGCAGGTTTGGTATGCTTTTGGTGGCACATTCTTTTGGCATTGTGGCTGGACTTTTGGGCATTGAAGCCAAGCCAAGGGTGTGCAGTGGAAGCTGATGTGTTGTCGAAAACACTGGCAAATTGAGGGTCATTCGGAGGTTCCCTAGCAAACCTCAAAATGAGAGTCTTCAGTCCTTTTTCAATATCATTTTGAACTAGTCATCGGGCAATGAGTATCATTACCGCTGTCATTCCATGAAGACATCTACGTCCACAATAAAGAACAGGTCGGACGCCCGGCACCCCTCCATGACTACATGGTTGGAGACATTTATTGAGTCCTTTCCAATATTGATGTGATGAATCTAATTCATTGACTTAACATTAACATGATATTCAATTAATATATGAATGCTATGCTTAATGTATTATCAACACATGAGTCTTGTGCCTGTCGTTGCAATTATGATGCTTTGGACATTCCACTGAAAAAATGATCTTGGACCCTGAATGCAGGCAACGGACCTGGTGACTTGAGGTGAAAAACTGTCGTCCGCTGATTTCTGAAGGTACTCTACTTCGCGGAGAAACCCATGTCTTTCTGACTTGAAGGGGGCTTTCTTCAGATAAGTGGTCCGAGAACCCCCATATCTCACCTAGGGAGAGGGGTTGGGGAGAGCAAAGCCATCGTCTCTTCAATCCCATTCACAGATGCTGGCTTCAGCCAGCAGGGGTCGAAAAGAACCCGCTTGCCCACTCAGCATCCACCGCTCAGGACCCGGACCCCAACCTCCCCCCGAACGGCGACTGGGCCGGATTCGTTGGGCCTCCGACGACTGGACCGGTGGCGTTACTGGCCATGGCAGGAGCTGAGCCTGCTGGTGTCAGGCTGCGACCGGGCTTCAGACGTCTAGCCCGGCGATTCTTCTTCCCTCGGAGATGAGATCAGATGCCTCGAAGGCTTCATTTTGGGATCATATCATGGCATTCTACAGTGTTGCTTGAAGAAGATGGACATGGGTGTTGGATACAGCTCCAGTTGGATTCCAACCCCAAAACAGGTCGAATCCACTCCGGAAATCGTTGGAATCTGTGGACCTGACCACCCAGGGTGTCTTTGGACTCCGCCCAGGCGCCCATGTGCCTGACCGCCTTCGTGTTTCTCCGTGCTTTCCACGGCCCGAGGACGTCCTCGCCCGAGCCCCGCCCACCGCCTGCCACGGCCTGTTCAGGCGGCGACGCGGATCGCGCCGAGGATCGCGGCGGAGAAGCGGAGGATCGCTGCGAGGTTCTGGCGCGAGGCCGGAAGGGGGTGCGGGATGCGAGAGGAGGGGAGAGGATGGAGAGGGAGTTTCTGAGAAGCTCTCAGATGCGAAAGAGAGGATCTTCTGACGGGAAAAAGGAATGGCAAAGGGCCCAATTAGGAGGCACAAAGCTGTTTGGCTTGGCTTCTTATGAGCTTCTCCAATCTTCAACACTGCCCAGTTCTGAAGACTTCAACAGTGGTTTAGGTGGTCGCGTCCGGCTGTGCTTCAGAGAAGTTGGCCGAAGATCGAATGAAGAAAGGTTCATGTGTCCTTCTTGATCACTTAAAGGTAGTCTGGTAAGGGCTAGCTTGATACACCTCTCATATATTCCTGGTACCTCTCTACCTTTCGTGTTTCCCTGTATCCTTCTGGATCTTGTTCCTGAGGTCCGAGAAACTCTTCAACTCGACTCGGCTGGCTTTAGGTGTCTCAATGTGTCCTACCATCTCCTACCCATTCCCAGAGGCACCTAGATTCGTGCCTGTGCAAGGTTGCACTTCAGCCATCTTTTCCCCCGCTGCGCTCTCACTGTCAGACGAACAGCTTGACCTGCCAGATGTATAGTTGCGGGCTCCGGACCACAGAAGGACCACATGGATCCCCGTTCAACCACGTCGGGTTGGTCTTCGGATGGCATGGTCGACACCATCCACAGGTCACTTCTCAGAGATTGTAAGCCACGGGATCGTTTGCGGGGTGGGGTAGGGGGGGGAGCAGAAGCTCCCAACTGGGTGTAGCTGACAGGCAGAAGCCGCCTCCTAAGCAGGTCAGTCTCCAAACCGCGCGTGCGGCTCCTGAACTGCAAAAGACTGGCGACACGTCACGAAGGGTCCAAGCCGTTGTCGCGAAGGGTCCGAGGGCCCCTTGAGTGCCCTTCAGCGCCCTTCAGCGCGTGGCGGCCGCGGTGGAGCGGCGCCGAGAGTAGGATCGTCGCGGGAGTCACGCGTTTGGGGGCGACCTGGCGCGCAGGAGGCTATGCGGAAGCGAAGCAGAGGATCGAGGCGGTGGTAGATCTGGGGACGTTTTTGGAGTCTTACGGTTGTGAAGGTTGAGCCGGAGAGTTGGGCAAGAGCTTGGCTTTTGGGTGAAACATGAGTCGAGTTCTACAGCGCTCAGTGATTTTTCTTGGGGGGAAGCCTGAACTGACTTCGGGGGATGGAGGGATAGATGAAAAACACATCCTTGCAGGTCCTTGCAGGTCCGGATAAAATGCCGAATGCTCATGCCTGCTCCCGTGTTGGATTCCTGAGGTTCTCCACAGCCAGTCTGAGGTTCGGAACATATCGGTGAGGGGGACTTCAAACCTCCCGGAACTCTGGGCGTTTTTAGGATGAACCTGGACCTAGGTCTGTGAAGATCCCAGTCGATCAGATCCGTTTTATTCCAACAGGCTACCACTCAGTGTCTGACACGCTATTGTTATTATTCTTATTTCATTTTTCCAGGGGCTCTCATGCCGACATGATCAGCCATCTGCTATCGCCCTTCGTTTTGGTCGCTATCAAACACCAGCTTCTGCATAACAGTATACTTTATGGTTTTCCTGAACCAAGCCGCCCGAGTCGCTGCCTCCGTCGCCGCGACCCAACCCGGCCGCCGTCACCGAGCCACCCGAGCCACCCAGGGGGGGCGGCGCCCGCTCGAAGGAGAGCCTGGTGGCGTTGATGGGCCCGGGACTGAGCCGTTGGACCTGACCCCACCCCACTGACCCCACTGACCCCACTGATGTATTTCCGGTGCGGCCCAGTGCTTCGCCCCGTGCTTTGGTCTAAATCCTCCGTACATGTTTGGTACAAATGGTCAAAGCACGACGTTTCAAGAGGGGGGGGGTCTCTGGATTTTGCAAGCTCCACTTGGTGATTTCTGCCTGCACCTTCCAACAGGTCTCCGAAATGGAGGGTGGGTGGTTGGGAAGGGCCCTTTACTCACAGGTTTTCACTTGATTAAACCTGGTTTCAGTCGGTGCTGGTGGAGGACACTCATCTCTGTGGACCTTGCATTGCACCTCCATGGGTCCGTGCGTGCCGTGCTCGGACTCTGCTTGGACTACAGAGGTCCTGGCAGCTGGGACCTGGAAGTCCGTCCTATAGCAGCTGGGAACCCCCCCTTCCCTTCTCGAAAGCCTTCACTTCTGTCATTCCACAGCTGCTGGAAACTCACCCCCAGAACCTAAGGATTTCGACATCTGCCCCACCCTAAAAGGTGTGGGCAGACACCTGCCAAGAAGATCTGTGGAATGTGGGTGTTTTTACCACCTGTTTTCCTCCGCTTCTGTTGAAGGTTGACACCTTGTTCAAAGATTCTTCTCCGCCCAAACCACCACGGACGGCGGTGCGCCACGAGGTGAGGCGCTGGCGCAGGGCGACCGCGCGCCTTGGAGAATGCAAATGATGGAGACGGCGAAGGGCGGGAGTCGGGGCATTTCTGCGCCCGTGCTCGGTGCAACTCGAGGGTGCTTGGGAAAGGGAAAGATGAGAGTGGACCAAAAGAGCGTTCCAAGTAGCAACTAACTCCCCAAAAATGAAGGTATTTGGGTCTATTTGGTTCTTCCAAGCCCAGTGGTCAGCTCAGTGGTCTTGGGATGGTACATCCATGTCGGGCTGCTCATGTCGTGGGCTGTGATGATGGTCTCAGCTCCACGCTTCCGAACCCCCAGTGGGCCCAGACGGGGTAGGATTGGTTCACCAAGAGTTCTGATGTGGTTTGTTATATCATCCTACAACACATTTGACCTTTGTTTTTGATAAGAAAAGATCATGTTTTGGCTCCAAAAGCAGGGGTCAATCAGAATCTAGGATGTTATATCATGTTATATCCTCGAATACTTGGAGATGGAGTCCTGAAGCGACCGGGCGGTGGACGCAGATGATGAGGAGACAGTCAGCTGATGTTCCTGGCAGCCTAAGTATGTTAACACCGACGCCTGTGCCCCGGTGCCCCTTGCATGTCCTTTCGTGTGGTAGCTCAACGTCATCGCCTGGAGCGTGCTCCCAGCAAAACTACACTCTTTGTGTCAACTTTGTGTTTCCTTTTCTTTGTGTGTGACTTTGAACCCAATTCACGCCCATGGGCTTTGTTTGCGAATTCAGGCTGTGTGAAAGTCAAAGCCTTCGGATCACTGTCGTGCTTCTTCTTTGGTGCATTCTACCGTGCTTTCCACACGGTGCACTGCCTTCGGCGTGCTCGTCTCCACAGCCTTCGGCGTGCTCGTCTCCACACGATGTCCACGTGGCGTCGTTTCCTTCGCGTCCGCACGTGCGCTCGCGGCCGCAGCACATGCTTTCGACCGACGCGCAGCGTTCGGCGCGGTCGCCGAACGCGGTCAGTCGCTGCCGCGTTCGGCGTCGGTTTGGGAGCCGGGTTGAGGAGACGAGCTGCCAAGGAAAACACGAGCTGCAGAAGCGACGAGTTGCGCACAGAAGCGACGAGTTTTTTAGACGCAGCAGAATGTCGACTCTTGACGAGGTTATTCCCCCCAATTAGATTGAACAACCTCTTCCTATCGGGGGGGGGTTTATTCATCAAGAGTCGACATTGCTCCGCTGGTTTGCCTTGGTATATAGCAGTCGTTTTCTTTCTTCCTTGGCAATCCTCTGAGTTGACCAGTCTGCTTGCATACTCTGCGCTGGTTGACTGGTTGGTATGTAGCAGTTTGTTTGTTTTGTCCGTTGGACTAGTGCATGATGGCATCAGGAATGAGAGTTGTAACAGGTGTTTCGGCAGTCCGCGTTCTGCAAGACGAACCTCGGCGTCAGCTTGTCATGCGCCACGCTCCACGCGCGCGGGCAGCATTGCAACCGTGTCTGCCCTCGACACAGCCCCGTTTTCGGCCTCATCATTTGTGGCCTGATGGGCATGGCGTGAGTCAACTCACATGAGACTAGACTGGTGCAAAACCCACCCGGAACTCGCGCCCTCAGTGTTGCACACGTCGGCACACACCTACACTCCTGCACCGTTCTTTCCGTTTGGGCCCGACCCGATCCCGTCCCGATCCCGCCGACTTGCGACCGGTCTGCTGAGCACGATCTGAGGACTATGCCTACCAGCTGCTCGACATCGAAGGACGGACCTCTTTGGGCGCCGACGACCGCGGACGACGACCCGGTGCTGACCCGTTCGGGCAAAGAGCGGCGAAGAGGTTCACCTCGATGCTTGCGTGCTACGTGCTACCCCCACGGGTCATGAAGATGGTGAAGATGGGAATGACACGGAATGAAGCAGGAACTTCCCAGTGACCTCTTCAGGATTGGTAAGTGACCTTTTCAAGGCCTAAGTGACCTCATTCTGGGATCTCAAAAGGTTGGAACATATCTTTTTTCCCACCTTGCAGTGGCGTGCTTCCAAGATTTTCTGGGAGCCGGGGATGCCACGTGCCACGTGCCCAGCAGGTTCTTTTGCACTAATTTTCAGGCCACGTTTCTTCGACCAACATTGGGGTCTGTTGCTGGTTCCATGGGTTTATTATGGGGGCAGGCGTCTATTTTTTCCCAACAGCCAAACTTAGGGCTTAAGGGTCTTCAGCCATAGTAGGGGTGTATGTTTTCTCTTGGAGCACCGTGTCAGTTGGCTGGTTTTGAATCTGTTGTTGATTCTTTGGGAAAGGGTGCCTCCATGCATGGCAGCTGTGCCTCCTCCTGGGACCTGCGCTTGCGCGCAGCCAGGTGACGCCGTGGATGCACGCAGCCTGAGCGTCTTCTTTCAGGTGCGGGGCCATGGAGTTGATAGGACCAGATTGCTCGGCCATCTGCTGGGAGTTTGGGACAGGTTCGGAGTCTGTAATGACTAGACGTCACCCGAATCTGGTCCTGAATGCTACCAGAGTGACAATCTGGTAGACCAGATTCTGCGATGCTTTTGAGTGACTTCACAGTCTTTCGGACAGCTTCAGAGTCCACTTCAAAGAGAGCAGGTTATCTGGTTTGTTCTGGTCGTGGATCCCAGAAGTGGCAGCGTCCATGGTTTGACTGGCCCAAATGGATGTGTAGGTCAAAATGTTGTGCCGTGAACAGTGGCAAGATATGGCAAGACTACTTTCACCGGTGCCAACGACTTTCACTAAAGCCTGAACGCTCTAGAAGAGACACAACCAACTCAACAACGCTTCGAGCTCGGTTGGGAATTCTTGACCAGTCTGAACATACAGTAGATCCCAGCAAACTCTCAGGCATCACGTTTGAACACAACAGAACACAAAACCTCCAAAATGAAGAGAACCGTCTAGTGACTTGTACAGGGAAATCCACTCAACACTTGGATGTGTCTAGCTGTTTGACACCCTGGGACGGGTTTTCTAGAACAGAGAATCCGCTTCTCAGCTAAACGTCAGAAAACAATGAAAGCGTCGGTCCCACCACAGGAGGCCTCCAAAGGTTTTAGCGATTGAAAGCGTTTGAAAGCTTCCGAAACTCCTTCCAGAGCAAGTAACATCTGTGCAGACCTCCACCATCAGGGCTCGACTGGTTGGACCGGCTCGCACGGCAGACTGGTCGAAACAACTGCAGCCGATCCATTTTCCGTCCCATCTTTGTACTACACGACATTCAAACAGGATGGATTTATTGGGATATGATATGACGCGGGTATCCCCTATGGTCGGTATTTGCAATGGATATTTATCCTCGTCCCTGGGCGTTGCTGGATGACCTCCGTCGTGCTCGGAAAAGAGACCTGCGGCCATGGTCCAGGTGATTCTAGTGTGAGGAGAACTCAGAAGCCAATACAAAGAGGCCTGTAGCTGCCCACCTACCTTTGGACCCACCGATATAGAGTTTGCTGATGCAGTCACCATCAGATGGAATCCCTGATTGTACAGAACCAATCCGGCACCGGCACCCATACAAAACAGGTGCAGCATGCTAGCCCAAAAGCTTGGCAAGAGGCTTTAGTTACCAACCCTTCCTCACTCACCCCAAGGAAATTCCGCCCACGCATGCTCATGGCCATTCCGGTCTGGGCTCCCACTTCGTCAGTGAGGCCGCCCCGTGTGGGGCGACGACGCGCACCGCAGACTTCGATCGGGCGATGGAAGTGGTGAGCAGGCGGGGAGGGTCCAGTTCCTTCGTCTCAGAGGGTTCGACGGGTGGGGCAAACCCCTGGGTCCTGGGTCTTAGTGAAATCCATCACGAATTCGGTACGTGTCTGTGTGTCCGCGTGCGGAGACACTTTCCAAAGAGTGGGTTGCGGCAAAAGGTTTTTGGCCCATTCGCAGAAGGGGTCTGTCAAACAGAATGGTGCCTTTATCGTAGCTTCATCCGTTCTCCAGTGAGATCTGCCTGAAGAGCACACCTGCAAGGCACTGGAAGAAGATGGACGAAGGCTTGGTGAACGTGATGTTGGAGGCCTGCCTCAGCGGACTCGCGGCGCACGCGCAGCGGACTCGCTCCTTGCGCCAGAAGGGGGGTATGCTCACCTTTGCAGCGAAACATCACCCTCAAAAAAAGGAGGTCGAGGGACCCAGCGAGTGCCATGTTTGGAGCTGTCTGCAGTCTAGCCTCGTCTGTTCATCGGTTGCACGAATCTCGCTATGCCTCTAGTCTGGTCTTCGAAAAGGCTTCGGAAGAATCGCACCCGCTGGGGCTGTCCTTAGACCTCAGTTGGCCTCTTAGGACTGTCCTTGTCAAACTGAAGAGCATCGTTTTTGGTTTTGAGACGGTCCTTGGATTCCAGCTGAACATCCACTCGTCTCTGACGGAGGGTTGCACGTGTGTGTGCACAACGGAGGTGGGAGAGCCTCTTTGAAATAGGTTGTGGTCCTATCAAACCAATTCTTGTCAACGGGTCTCTGCAGCAAAGGATTCCAGACGGTTTCTCTTCAACCCAGACGGTTGTCTTTGTTTCACCTACCGAAACATGTTCCACTTGTGACGCAGCGAATAGCTTGACTTCATGTCTTGGCTGGAGGGTCACACCTCAGTCCCTCTGAGCTCGGAGCACGGGGCCGCAGCCGTCGGAGGGAGGCGTTCGCGCGCGCGCGCGCGATAAGCCAGGCCTGCGTGGGGTTGCGGGACTCTCAGCGTTTGAACCAAGTGCTGTCCTTCTTGAAGAGGCGCCTGCACCGGGTGAAGCGAAGGGCACCGGGTGAAGCGGGGTACGCGTGCGAGGGGGTGGAGAGAGGGAGCAAAGGAGGAACCAGGCTGTTGTTGGACAAAGCGATCAAGGCCCAAAACCAGGGCAACAGTTGTCAGTCTCAAGTCGAGTCTAGTTTCTTCACCAAGCAGCTAGTATTGTTTTCTTAGGCCGCGGCTCACCTGAAGAGGTTAGAAAAGGTGACTCAAGTGTGCGACAGAGTCTTGTTGGGATTGGTTTCCAGAAGACTTTTCAATTCTCTCATCTTGAACTTTTTGGCTTTAATTTGCTGTAGAATGGGGTCTTGGAATACAGGTTGATTTGCATGAACCAGTTTTGGTCTTAAGTCGCAGGGAACTCATTGAAGCTGTTGGCAGGAAGAGAGAGAGAGAGAGAGATTAGGACGCCGGTGGCCGGGGTAGGTTACGGTTCGGGTGTCTTTCTTTGTTAATGATTGATGGTGCAGGAGAGAAACCGTGACGGAGGAACGCAGCAGGGCGTGAAGAGCCTTAGCCTTGTGAATTTCCTCTCTCCGAAAGCGTGAATCACTTGTGTTTGGATAGCATAGGGGTAAAGGACTCAAGATACCAAAGGGCACGGACCTTTCTTAAAGGGGCGTTTGAAAAAGTGCGTGCGATTTTCCCCCTGAACTTGTCTCATTGAGTACTTCCCTAGAAAATCCTAGACGTTTTTCCATCATGATCGATGCTTTAGCATTACAGTAGCCAGCTGCGCACCAGCCTATAGATTCCAACGGTGGTCTGTGGTGGCTTCTCCAGCACGCCAGCCAGCCGTTTGACCGTTCGCCGTTCGGTTTTCTTCGTTGGGGCGGTCAGGTGCAACTGGGAGCTGCCCCCATCCTGGAGCAACAGCAGTTACTCCGCGCTGATCAAGGCGAGGGAGGGACAGACAGTGTCGTACGAATCGGTGAGTTGGGAGGTAGCAGGTGGATCCGAGCGGCGGATGTTTTTGCGAGGCAAGTGACGAGATGATTTCAGAATGGGGGCTTTGAATGTCGCACGCCGATGCACCGTTTGGAATCGTTTGGAACCAAGTGACACGTCCGAAGAGACAACGAGGTTTCGGTGCGTCGAGGACCAGAGGGATGAGCATGGATCTGTATGGCTTTCCCACGAAAAGCGAATCGGCTAAAGTGGTGCAGACCGTGTTCCTTCAACTGGGTTTTCAATGAAAAAGGGCTTTAAACTACCACGAACGATGATACGAACGATGTCACTGCTGATTCCATGCTGATTCCATGCTTAAAACCGGTTCCACTCCGAACCCCCACTCGGTGTGGAACCGTCGGCCTCGTCCACGAGTGCAGCTTCGCGAATCGGTCCACGAGTGGACGAGGTCCTTCGTGCACTTCGACCCTCGGACTTCTGCAGGCGTTGGGGTCGACGCAACAGATGCACAAGGCCCAGGAGCTGTGGCAGAAGATCCAGCAGCAGGCGCCTGTGCAACCCTCGTTGGAGCCAGTCGCCGTGGCGAAGTGGGGTTGCTTCATGACATGGGGTTTGGTTTGGGGTTTGGTTCTCAATGTCTCAAGACGCCTCATGGTGTCACGTTCTTTTGGGCTTCACGTCGTGGCCGTGGCGATGCGTCGAGTTTCCCGTCGTGTTTCCCGAGTAGCGAAGACCTCTTGATTGTATGTCACCCCCTGGGCCTGAAGAGGTTCTTCATGGCTTTTCAATGGGGTTGATGAATCAAGAGTCTATGAAAACCACATAAAACCACCGTTGCGTTGGATGGAAGTGCCGAGGCACTTCCGTCGGCATCCCGAGATCCGCATCCAACCAGCCATTTGGATCCATTTGGGATGTACATAGCTCCAGCAATCTTGGAGACTTTGATCTCGAAGGGACTTCGGTGCGTCGTGCGTTTTTCATAGGGAGACGCCCCCAACGGGTCAGACGGTCGAATTCCCGACCCTTCCAGTTCTTCCGTCGTTGCCTGGGAGATCTCGCTATGTAGACATACACACCCATACCAGGACACCCGGACCAGGGGTCTATTGGTAGCCCCGAAAAGAGGTTAAGGGGTGTCCATTAACCACCCCGACAGTGGGTCCTAGTATGGGTGCTGTGCGCTTCGTCTCTTACGGAGACATACGGAGTTCTCTCCCCCCCTGGCCGGGTAGACGGGGGTCCTACACCATCCGGGGCGGTTTTGAGAGGTTTGAGAGGCCTCCCGGATTTGAAGGCACACCCATATCACACCCATATCCTTGATCTAGTCGTGATATCCACACCTACCAAGTTGAACACGTCGTTCCGTGTGTCCACCTCTGCCCGCAGGGCATTGTCCCGAACGAACACATGTTTGCACAGATGATCGATGTGCTAGTCACAGGCGCGTGATCGAAGTGGGTCTGCGACCGGTCGCTGTTGGACCAGCTTCGTGTGTTGGATGAAGACCCCTACACCTCTTCTGACTGACAAGGACTTCACCACTGGTTGGCAAGAAAGACTGAAGGTGTATGCGGGTGTTGCTGTTTTTTAAACAGATTCTTGGCAGTGTCATGATGTTTTGAGGAGTAGGTAGAAGCGACATGACAATCCCCCAGTCCGCTGTCACGCTAAGTGATTGCAACTATTATAGCCACAGGCAGACCACAGATGTTTTACTTGGATCACGATCAGTTGGAATTCTTTCTCCTTGGAAGTCCGAGTTATGACTACTAGGACTAGGAGGGCTCTATCACTCTGTCCACCAAACGGAGGTCCAACAAGGAAGAGACCATGAACATCACCGGCTCTTCCGCTTGCGATCAGCGATGGCTCACGTGGCGCTTCGGCTCACCCAAACGGACCAGCTCGCCCAGCAATGCGACCGTGACCCAGCTTTCACCCAGCCAGAGCCCGTGAGCCGCATGGAAGCACCTCCTCAGTGAGCCCAGAATGACCCCCGTATGACCCCCGTCTCCGATCTGGCTCTGGTTCGGGCGCCGCGCGCGGTCTCTGCGCGGTTCGGCACATGGCGCCGCGGCCCAGGCCGAAAGTTCCAGGACGCCTTGAAGCTCTTTCAGGAGATGCAGCAGATCCACACCTGCAGGCGAAAGAATGCCGCCCGCGACGTCCGTGCGCAAGGAAACGCGGCGCATCGCCTTCCGCGCCGTGCAGTCCGAAAGCTTGGGCTTTTCGTTTCTTTATGTGTTTCCTGTGCGGAACGCGGTGGCGTGCGTGCAGGTGCGTGACAACGTCGGTGCGCAGGTGAAACAGGGCCATGTGGAATGTATATGGAAGATTCTTCCAGGAGTCACAGAGCTCGGGGTGGTTTTCAGTCCCATCCAGGGGCTGTGGATGTGACAGGGGCACCCCTATCCTCCAAGTTCGCCACCCCGTCTTCTGACTGCTGGCTTGGTCATGTTCATGGGGTGATCCGTCGAAGTTCCTCCGGCATCCTCCGGCCCCCTGGTCTACGAAGTTCATGGTGCACCCACTTGGCGCCTCCAGGATCCGCTCGAGTGGTGTGGCCATGGCCTACGCGATGATCGTGAAGGGATACACACAGCAGAAGGCGCCGCGCCGATCGTGAAGGGTTCGATCCGCCGTGCGATCGCTGCAGAGGGGTTGTGAAGGGTGGTCAAGCTACAAGGGTTTGCCGTCTACATGTAATATATAATAATATATATATATATACGACCCCTCCAAGTCAATGACCTCGTTAAACTTGTTCATATAGAATTGGAGACAATTACCACCATTTACTTTGTTAGAACCTAGTTTTCGAAAAGTAGTCGTTTAACTTGCGGACTTGCAGGGTACTCTTTTGATTCCTCCTGGAGTGAATAGAACCCGAACCGGACATGGAATCGTGGAAGATCAAGGGAGCTTGTTTTCTTATGGAATAAGAACCATAGAGTCCTTCAACATCCATCAAAACCATGAGCATTCTTTTTCGATTTCGATTCTCACAGTCCTGTGTGTCTTCTCCCCCTGGTGCACGATGCGTCTCGCTGATGCTTAGGACGCGGCGAGCGCCCTGCGGTTGTACGAGGAGATGAAGGCCACGGCGACCGTGGGAGGGTGCCGTTGTACGTCGCTCTTGGCTCTGGGATGCTCTCGGCTCGGATTGTACGAGATGGCCCCAGGGTCTCGTATTCAGCCAGGCGTTCTGGACCCAGCCGTCGCGTAGCCCAAGTTGCGTCGTCGCGCCTCGCTCCAGTTTCGTATCAACGGGGGCCGGTACGGCAACATGGGTTTCTTGAAGAACACCTGAGCCAAGCACCTTCTGCGTTTGTTGCAGGATTGCACCAGGTTCTGATGCTTGGCTGGTGAGGGACAGCCCTTCTGAACCTTTTCCAGATGCCGAAGGCAGAGAGAGAGGTAGAGAGAGTCTGTCCCACTAGTACAGATGTTTCCCGCCAGGTCTCGTCCGTCCTCTGTCCTTTATCTGTGAGGTGAAACCCGGTGTCTCCATCGGGTTGGCTTGGGCTTCACCACCTCCAGGGCCCTCCGAACCGGAGCTCCCGGGCCAGGCCAAAGGCGTCCAGGTGGGCGTGGTGGTGCTCAACACCCTGATCGACGCCTGCTGCCGCACCGGCGATCTGGCGAAAGCCTCGTGCCTGCTGGACGACATGGCCGGAGGGGGGAGGGATGGTGAAAGGAGGTCCAACGAAAGGAAACTTGGGATTGTTTGGGGCTTGGGTCCAAGAGAAGCAGAATGGCTATGGGTGAAGATGGTGAAGAAACAAACCAGAGCAGTTTGAGCCAGCTATTGTTATTGCCTTTTCTCTAGTACACGCTGAATTTTTTGAGTGATCGTCGATCCAGACAACGAACATGAGTAAGCTCAGGAGCTGGCAGTAGCCTTCTGCCTATGCAACAACTGCCCACTGATATAGTCACTTCGGGCCTCCTTTCTTCAGGGCAGTTCCGAGGCCTTTTTCCTACCCTTCCGAACAGCCTCCCTCGCTGAAGTCTGGAAGCTAGTCCACCTTTTCAAAAAAGCAACAGCCGCCAGTGAAGCGGGCGCCGCAGTCAGCAGTCCCCGGGCCTCCCCAGGCCCACGGCCTCCGGGGGTGCGAACCGCGACAGCAGCAGCATTGCTCCGTTCGACCGATTTCCTCGACAGGCCGACTTCGAGCTGTGTCCCGACCTCATCACCTATAGCACGCTGATCAAAGGCGCCGAAACCCACCGACCCGGTCGAACCTTCGCAGGGCGGTTGTCCGACCGACTTGCCGGGTCTCAGTGTGATAGCGATGAGGTGGGTGGAGTTGCTGGGTGGGGCGTTCCCTAAGGATCATTGGACCCTCCTATGGAGGGTTTTGACCCTGCATAGCAGGGGTTTGGACCCTCAAAACCTTCACCTTTGAGGGTCCTTGATCCTTAGGGAAGTCAAGCTTGGAGGGGATACACACTCACGCATGCACGCACACCATGTCATACACGCACGCCCATGTGGAGGGTGGCTGCGACGATTTGGGGTTTTGGAAGACCGGTTGACGACGAAAGGCCCTGTGATTTATGCCTTGCGCCGTGCAGATCCGTGTTCCTCAGTTTTCTTTTCACTGACAGGAGTTGAACCGTTGGGGACTGGGTACAGATCAAGGACTGGTTTGAGTGCCAGGCATTCTAATGCTTGATAGGGGGTTTGTTGGAGTCGATTCTAGATTGTTTGCACATCACTAGAGGAGAAGTGTCCGTGCTCATTGATTTCAGAGGGAGGTTCGGAGTACTCGATATGCTGAACGCACAGGCTGCGACAAGATTCCACCTCCGCACCAGAGAATAACAGGCAACGTCTCCTCCTACTCGCCAGCCAGGCACATGCTCAGCGAGATGGTGAGTGAAGCCATTACAGCCGACTCAAGCTCTCTGTATGTGGACTCCATGCCTCCTGCTCGAACAAGAAAAACCCTTCACATAAGCTGAACATAACATAGCTGATCACTTCCAACAAAAACATGACCACTGTCCAAAAGAATTGTTTTCTTGAGGCACTCAGAGCCCAAGCGTTGAGTGGGGGGACCCGTCGTTCGTGGCAGGTCATTGTGCCAAAGGTGACTTGGACAAGGCCGGCCCGGTCGTTTTGGGGTCAACGTGGCGCCGGGACAGGGCCGTGTCAACGTGTTCGACAGGATCCCTGGTCCCTGAGCAAAGCCACCACCATAAGCCGCCGGCGGAAAGCCAACCACGAACAGATCCCCAGACTGGTGTGAGGCCCTGATGGCCCTTACTAGGACCCACTGTTGGGGTGGTTAATGGACACTCCTTAACCTCTAAGGGGCTATCAATAGACACCCCTGGTCCGGGTGTCTTGGTAGATGTCGTGTTTTTTTTTTTGAGTCGTCCGACATGACTCAGCTTGGTTCTCCAGACCTTGGCGGACTTCGGACGCTGGACATCAGCCCCCTGAAAGGGGCATCGCCGGAAAAATACACCACCACACTTCTGAGCCCCTGGGTGTCTTTGAATTCACCCAGCACAGACGCCAAAAGACGCCAGCAAAACGGGCCTGAAACGAAGAAACCCAAGTTCTTTCAGCAACGATGCCTCTCACCCCAGGCGTTGGAGCTCTTTGGGGCCATGCGTCGGCGAGGCGGAAGGGGGGGAACTCCCGGGTGGTGAATGAACACGGACCTCTAAGTAGATTCCAGAATGGACATGAATGGAGTATCTGGTCTTCGAACTCTTAGGGGGCTTGTGAGCTTGGACGGGCTCTGGCAATCAGATACCCTGGATCTCTGCGATGTGAGGGAGTGGCAAGTTCCTGCTGGACTTACAGTCACCCTCAAAGTTAACAACTCACAATCACTGGGATCCTCCAAGTATAGGTCACGTTAGGGCTTGTTCCACCTCCCAAACTTTGATCAATTGGTGCATGTTATGTTTAAGGTAGAGCGAAGGGCACAGATTGGAAGCGCACTGAAACACAGAGATGTGTGCAGTTCAGGAACTGGTTCATAGCTCTCATAGCTGGTCGATTCGATTCGATTCGTAAAGTGCCGTGGGTCGGGTCGAAGACGTCATGGCTGTGCTGTCAATGCCTGAGTTAATGTGTCCCATCACACAGGAGTTGCTACAGGATCCGGTCATGTGCGGCAGCTGTGGCCAAAACTTCTCAGGAGGCACCATCGCAACGCATCGCCAACGGAGCCGTCGCTGCCCAGTCTGCACTGCGGAGACCAATTCATGGGTGCGGAACAGAGCACTTCGTGATGTGATTCAGCAATTGCAGACTCCTACTACTCAGGCTCCACGAATTGAAGGCAACACCTTTGTCTACACCCGGCCCCTGGTCATCCTCATCGTGGGCCGCTTCGGGTCCGGGAAGAGCACCTTGATCAACCTCCTCGTTGATCCTAGTGGTGGCACTGTCATTGCTGCCGAAGCATCGGGTGCACGAGGCTGTACTCAGCAAGTCCAGAGCCTCGGTTTGACTTGGACCTTTGGCATGCGGAAGTTGGTGGGAACATGTCCGAAGTATCCATTGATGGTTGGTTGTTTTCAGACATTTTCAGTTATTGAGTACGCACCCAATTCTCTGATAACCGTGACAGAAATTGATTAAGGGACCAATGTTTGGTTTTGTGGTTATGACATGGGATGCCCAGCGCGTCGGGCCTTTTCAAACTTGAGCCAAAGTAAGACGAAAACACTCGTAGCGCTTGGCTTTCTACGAGGTGTGGTTGTACACTTTTTGATTTGTGCACTTCATGAATCACACTCCCCCTGGCTTGGTTCAAGCCATTAAGAGCTAATCATCTGACTCGCTTGAGTCTTCACGAACCCTTGAGGTTCCAGAAAAACCGCGACGCGGCTCCCAAGGGTCATTTGACCTGGGCCTCACTGGCATCTGCGTAGACACCCCCATCCAAGTTGGCGTCTCCCGATCTTGGTCCTCAGCTGGTGGTAGTACAGGATCCGGTCCTCTGTATATTTCTCGATTCGGGGGTGCCAAGTTGCTTCGCACCACCCTCCACCCTTGAGCGGTCATCTCGTCCAAGGTTGGCGGTTCTTCATCCTCACTGGCCAGAGTTCTCCTCCAGTCAGCTCTTTCTGCACTGCTCGACTCACTCTCCACCGGCCGGTTCTCCACAGGGGATCCCGCATCAACGGTCAAGTCCCGCATGAACGCCAGCCAATCATCCCGTACATCATCCTCCAGTGTGGTTCCATCATGTCCTCCAGGTCCTTGTGCCCAATAGGCAGGATCATAATCCCACCCTCGATCCATCTCTTCACTCACCAAGGAAAGCTCTCGGGAATCTCCAGACGTCCCCGATCCTTCAACTTCTCCTCGCTGTTGATGGCCATGAAGCCGCTGCCCATAGCCTCCAATGCCACTGCTACTCGCTCCCTCATTCACCCTTGTGCTGAGTTCCGAACCAGATTCCACCGGATTCGGGTCCTGTCCTTGACGATCTGGTCGGACATCTCGAGGCACTCCTTCCATCTCTGGACCATGTTCCGCAATGCCCGGCATTGGCGGTGGTCCGGAGGTCAGTGAACCGCTCATCGAGGAAGACGTCCTATCGCCCTGTCCTCTGGTAGTTGATGAACTGGAGGTCGAAGTCAAAGTCCCCGCCGTTGGGTCTGGATGAAGATCCCTGAAGAAGGTATATCCTACCCAGGGGTCCCTCATTGGTGGTTCCGTGTCTCTCCTCCATTCATCATCCCTGATCACCTTTTCCCCATGGCACCACAACACGGTGATTCTCCGATCTTGAATGTGGCTACAGTCCATAGGTGTGTGTCGATGAATTGGATGGAATGGTCTCATCCTCTGCTTCACATGATGTCTGACCCACCATCCCCCTGGAAGTCGGTCCCATCGATCTTGACCCCTCGAAGGCATAGTGAACCTCCTCCACATCCAGGGTCGATCGTAGTCCACAACTGGAACCTCTCCAGTGGTCGTCGACGATGTCCCTCCGAGCCCTGTCGACGATCCCTCCCTCAGAGCAGCCAATCGTGCCCTCTTCGAGTTGCCGCCATGGCTCACATCTACCGCGTAATCCCGGGAGCCCTCAGGGCTAGGTTCACTAATGGGTTCCTCTTCCGACCCATCCTCTCTACTGCAGGTGGGTTCATCTTCCCTCACCTGATCTTGAAGTCCATATGGTGGATCTGCATATTCATCTCTTATCGGCCCAGTGGCTCTCTTCTTAGAATCACAGCCGGCTCTCCAGCTGGTGGCCAAACTAGCTACCATCGCAGCTACGGCTAGGCTCTGAGCAGCCTTGCCCGTGGAACCTGACGGCCGCCAGGCCATCACGCCCGCCAACCCACCTACCAGAGCTGCAATCCTGGCCACTTTGGACCCTAGGCTCTCAGACACAGCTTCCACCACTGGTTTCATTCCCATGGCCGCGAAGAAGTGCTGCCATCTCGCAGCCACTCCGATCGGCTTCGTCAGGAAGTCAGCCACCAAATGCTGACCTGGGATATGGATCACCTTCCAAGCGCCCCACTTCACCCTCTCCCGCAGTGCATGGGCTCGAAGACGAAGGTGACGTGTCCTCCAAGGTCCATCCGGCGCTTCAAGGATTCGAAGACCAGCTTGGTTGTCTCCCCCCAAACGGCACTCTATTCCTATTCCATCTCCTGTTCCTTCCAGAACATTGGTCAAGGCCGCCAAGGAATCCCCCATGGTCATCGCTTCTGTGTAACCCAGCAGTTCAGCCTCCGCGCTCGACAGCGTGCAAAACGCTTGCTGCCTGGATTCCCATTGGACCGGCTCGCCCCCGTAGGTTCCAATCACGCCCTGACACCCTCTCCCAGAAGGAGGTCCAAACGATGCATCCGAAAGGACATCCACCCTCATAGTAGGATTGTAGTGTTCTCCAGGGATTGAGGACCGGGCTCGTCCATAGTGAAGCGACCATGCCAAGGTGGTTTTCAAATATCCCAACATCTGACATCCATACTCCAAGACCCGCTTTGGAGCTCGGGTCACCTGTCGTCCCATCCAAGCCACTCCATAGGCCAGATCAGGTCGGCTTCTCACTGACACCCACAGTAGTTCACCTACCACTCCCTGCGCCTTTCTCACGTCTTCCAAGGTGACTTCCGCTTCCGGCTCCTCATTGGGCACTCCTGGAAAAGGTACCGTAGCCGGGGTCACCCAAGAATGTCTGCTCAGAAGCTCCTGAATGTATGCTTGCTGCCCCACATAGAGCCCGCTGTCCTCCTCCGCTGAGCTCCATCTCAGTTCAAATCCACTGAACTTCGTCCATCTCTCGCTATTGACCCACTCCGCCGGGCTGCACTTCCACTCCATCTCAATCCTGCTCAGTGCTCCCTTCACGATGTCTTTGGCCCCAACCACCATGAAGTCATCCACATAGACCCCAATGAATCCCTTCGGAGGCGGTTCCTCCTGATCCAACGGTCTCTCCACAATCTTCCAAAGGTTGGGTTCTGGCGTCTCCCGAAGCTCCAATGTCCGCCCTTCATGTTGCCATTGAAAGGACCTCATCAGCCGATTTCGATAGGTAGCCCAGTCCGCCGGCGAGGATCGAAGTCCATAGAGGGCGTGTTGAACCCGCCATAGTTCCTGAGGTCCCACAATGCCCGCCTCCACCAAAATGCGTGGCGGTTTCACCACTACCAATCTTCGACTGGAGTCTTCCCTGGGGGCCAGAAGGAAAGCCGTCTTGACATCGCAAGTGGCGATCTCCCAGTTCATAGCTGCCGCCTTTCGTAGAAGACATCGGATGGTTGTTCCGTCAGCTCCGCCGGCATACAGGTTCTGGGCCTCCTCCTTTCCCGAGGTTGCTGCACCACTGCCATCCAGAGCTTCCAGCCGATTACCGCAGACGACAATGCGAGCCCGCTTCTTCCCATGTGGTGCCTTGATGGTCGGAACCAACATCCCCGGCGCCACCTCCATCACCTCATACAATGGATCTTGCTCCAACTCTTCCATGGTCGTCGGGCTTAATGCCCTAGTACCTTCAATCAAGGACTGGTACTCATCAGTCATCGGAGGCACCCACGCTGCAAGCTCCTGTCGGACTCGTTGAAGGGGAACGGCATAGGTTTGCAACACCGCCGGTGGAGGAGCTCCAGGATCCTGTAACTCCAAACCTGCTTCATTCTTCACCGCAGCCAACCTCACCGACTCCAGTTTACGATGTTGGTCCTCCAAATGATCCTCTTGTACCAACAGTCCAGCTTCCAATGCAGCCATCCATCGCCCTCTCTGTCTGCCCTGCTCTTCTCCAATGGCCTGATGGCGCAACTCCTCACTCCATAACCTCTTCATCAGCAAGTGCGACCTCACCTCCATGGCGTGCCACTCCTCAGCTTGATCCCAAGAACAACTCGAGCCCTTCCATAGACCTCCAGTCCGACGTTCTCGGTAGTCGTCCACATACTCCAAGTTGCCACCACAGAACCCACAGGAAATCTGCGTCGCCTCCACCAAGTCCAGCGTACCTTCCACCGCCGCTTGCATGGAGCTCATCACCACCCCGCAGCCGCGAATGTCCCTTGGATCCTCAGTCGGGACTTGGTGGGGGTGCCGGGGTTGAAGGAGTCCACAATCTCCACAACACACCATCGCCAGCTCCCCAAGGCATTCCCAAGCTCTCC